CACCTGTGTTTTTAAAGGTGTCGGACGTTTGTTTTCTATTTAAAAGTCCGCTCCTCCCTGCTGCTGTGTCATTCCTAGATTCCTGTCTGACAAATGGGTTGTGTACGACTGGAGGAATGAGGAATGTCATTTCCTGGTGTCAGGACCGCCTGCCCCGAGTATACCAATAACACAAAAACAAAACATTTTACAGCTTTACTGACCCCACACTTAAACATTCAGAGGAGTGCTTCCCTTTAAATCTGGTGTTTTGTTTGGACGGAATCAAACGTTCTTCATTTGACTTGATGCATTTTGATCCCAACATATGCATTAACTAACTCATCCAACATCTCGTTTGCACATACGAATCTACTTGTGTTTCACAGCTATCTCCAGAAATCTGCTGCTGTTTCTTGTAACACAGGATGCACGGGGAAATGCAGTATCGCTTATTTTTGAAATGCTAAATTTTACACATCCTCGGTCCCACTGAGGAAAAAAAAAAAATGAGAACAGCAAAGGGTTTTCCATACAGAAGAAGGGATTCTCTTTTGGTTGTCTTTAACCTCCCTTTTGCTGCGTAACGTGTTTGAAGTGTTAACTTTGGTGTCTAGCAGAGGAAATAAGCATCCCCTTGTGAAGATATGATAATCGGATTAGCGTACTGTTTCAGGAGTAGCTGTTTTCTCAATCACCAGTGCACAACCACAACACAAAAATGCCAGCGCACACACAGAAAAATCAAATATTGATGTGCTTTGCATTTACTTACTAAAACAAAAATGAAACGACAGACTAAGAGAGCATGGGTTTCATACCTTTGCTGGTTTTCACATCTGCTGGTCTCTCGTGTTCCTTGCCTTTCACTGCAAGGTGAGAAATAAAGACCGGATTATTAGGAGAAAGTCATTTGCTCCAGCAGTTCAGCCCAACGATAACGTCTGCTACACCGGAACTGCAGACTCAAGACGCACAGGCATCACCGCAAGACCAAAAATGTAAACCAACAATGAAAAATGGTCTCTACTCTTACATCAGACATTTAGTATCAAGAGAGAAAGATGATAAGATCAGCCACAACACAACTGCACAGCTTTAATCTGCTGGGCCTCTCTGCTCTCAAAGCTTTCAGGCTGCTGCCTGGCTTCCGCTCTACATCATTAACTTGGTACAAACTGCAGAACTGTTACTTATAAAGAGTCATTTTACAAGAAATCAAAATAGTAGTCCAGCAAAAAGAGACAAAAAAGAATAGTGTGCACAAACAGGCCTTAACTGCAAGACGGGCTGCTTTGCCTGCTTTTGTTTGTAACCCTTCTAACGTTTGCAATGGTGTGAAACAGCGTCCTGTTCAGCAGTCGCTTGCAAGGTGCACAAGCCAAAAATTACTGCAGGGACAGGTTTTCATTATTTGGTGAAACGGAGATAAGAAAAGGCTCTAGCACTGTTTATGACCCATTTATTACACAGACCTGGGAAGATAGCCTGACTGGGCAAGAGGAGGTATCCAATGAAAAACACGCAGACGCAGGGAACGCTGCCTCTCTGTCCTGCCACTCCGATGAGCTGCGCAAAAGACACGAGAGGCTGCCAAAGCAATCTTATCTTATCTGCCCACCACTTTTTCTTCTCACCTGAACCCCCTGCTCTGAAGATCAAAATAGTCTTCTCTGCAAAGAAGGGCTCTGCATATAGGCATAGCGAAAGAAACTTAATCCCACCCCAGCACAGTGCAGAAAGTAGGTCATCAGATCCTAGCATGGTGATGGTGCGACGGAACCTTTTATCCATTAGGTTCCTGTTAAAACAAAGGCAATGGGTTTCGAGACACTTAAACGCAGAGACTGCTTTAATAAAAGGCCAACCTCAACTCCGTGGGAACACTATGAGATTGGAAAGAGCATCAGTCAGATAGCGATCTACTACTGTATTCTTATCTGGTATCTGATTTGACAGCAGAGTGTCTGGATTGACTGGACTCTT